ATCTTTCTTTAGCAGTTAAAGTTCTACAGCAGAATTGTCTATTTATTCATGTAAAAAAACTATTAGAAACAGCGAGTCTCGTAACGTTACCTTGGAGAGGTCCTAGCTATAATTTTATCTAGGAAAGATACAAAACACAGACCCCCTACTGAAACTACTGAGTTTTGAGACATCAGAGCGACGGCCTGCACAGAGAGCAGGATGCCTGCAGCTAAGAGCGATCGACGTTAAGCTGTACCTGCGGCTTGAGGCGTGTTCTTCAGGAGAGAGTCACAGATTTCTTTATAGTGATAGAGCCATTTGCTGACGAAGGATGAGGGGAAATTTCAGGCTCCATATTTTTCTGTCTCTACCTGCAACGCATTGAGCCTTATGCATTTTACCGCTAAATAAACTTTTAAAAAGCCAAACCAGTTTGTGAGAATGTGAGAATACTGCATGTCGAATAGGAAGGAAATAAAAGATAGAAACAAAAAAGATTTTATGTAACCTCATTATTTCTTTATAAGCTTTTTTTTGAGAATAAAAAAAATATTTGTCACCATCAGTTGATCGGAGGAGCTGGTTCTGGGTCCTAATTTTATATATATAGGTTTCCAAGCTTTATTACTTTAAAGCATAAAAAAAAAAAAAAAAAAAAAAAAAAAAAAAACGAGAGCCAATGTAGAAGTTCACTGATGGATTCTTCACAAAAATAAGTTCACCAGCCTGCAGGCCTTCAGACAATAAAAACAGAATAAACGTGATAAATGTACATCATCTGGATGTAGAAAATGTAATAGTTATAAGCTTGAATTCTTCTCATTTGTTGCAGCCATTCCCCTCCTTATGGATCACAGTCATAAAACAAACCCATGAATTTTGTCTCAATGAAATGCAGCTCCAGATCAATTTTATTGCTTTCTGTTGCTGGTCTCCACCACCTCCTGAGGGAAATATCTGACTCTGAATTCACCAGTAATTTAGTCAGTGAGCTGCTTGGTGCCTTAGCTTACAGTTCTGTAGGTCTCAAAATGATGCTGCGGGATAAAATCAAAAGTTTAAACACTTTAAAGTGCAAGTTTAAAAAATTCTAACAAATATATCTGAAGGTATTTTAAACATATAATACCTTCCGCTGATTTTATTTATGGGGTACACAAATGAAGAACTTTGACAGAAACAATAGCAAATTGTGATATTTTGGGGCCTCTGACCTCACAGTCCTGTTGAAGCAGTAGGAGCAGAAGCGATGTCCACACTGGGCTTGAAAGGGCCGTCTCAGGATATTGTGGCAGCAGTTGCACAGGTGCTTGTCCTCCAGCTTGTTGCCCAGGATTTTCTTGGGGTAGCCGGGTTTATTGCTCTCCATGGACGACGGAGGGGACGGTTCCTGTGTGGCCATGGCGTCTGTTTACACGTCACACCTGGAAAAGGTCCAAACAAAGCAGAGCAGAGAAAAATAACCTTGACTTTTAATAAAGATTGAAGACACTTAGATGTATTTCTCTGGGTGTATAGGTCATTCATTACTCGATGGCAAAATTAGAAGCTCTTAAAGTAAAAGTATTTTTCTAGCACAGTTTAACGATTCTTTTTAACTAGGAATTCTGGGTCCTGGAGAGAAGTTGACCCACAGCACCATAGAACCTCAACTATACTTATCAATAATTATACAGGCTTTTACAATTTGCTTTGCAGTAAACGCAGCTTCGGTGTTTTTTCACAAAACTAAATTTCCTATCTTTATATATTCGATCAAGGCACAGTTACAGTTGAAGCCCCATATCAGAAGAAGTTAGGAAATTCCAGCAACTTTGAATGAGTTCCAGAATTGCTTAGAAAATTGAGGCTTTGTTCTAGAAGAGAAAATAAGCTTTTTTCTATTCTTCAATTATTTTCAACCAAATAAAGCATCCTGGCCTTATTTAAATCTGAAAAAAGATCAAAGGAGCATCTATCACAGTGGGAAGGAACAAAACTTGAACTCTTCGGCCAAAATCCCAGAGGAGAGGAGGAAGGTCAATGCACATCATCACACGACCCACCCACAGTGACATATGGCGGTGGCAGCATCATGATGTGGGGCTACCTCTTTTTAGCATAACCCTGAGTTAAAGAACACATCTAAATCCACATAAAGATTAGGAAAATTATAGATCTGCAATGTCTGAAGCAGAGACAAGACCTAAAACTCTGTGGCATCTAAGACGAAGAGGGCAGTGGAGAGTCTCAAAATCTAGACTTGGAGAAATTTTATAAGTGGAGCAAATAATGCAAATTTAAGAGTCAGAATGTTTTAATCAAATCAACATGTTGATTAACAAAGTGTTACTATAAAGATGAGTCGACAAAGATTTGAAAAGAGAAATCATGATCACCAGAACCTGACATCTTTGAAGAACAACAGCATTCAAGATCTAGTGGTTGTTCTCCAACTGGGAGAACTGGAATTTCATTACCTTCCCTTCCTTTCCATCTCGTTGTGCATATTTCTGCTTATGCTTTGCACTGCTATCCTATGAAATGAAGGTGTTGGATTCAAATGCCAGACGGTGGCCTGTCTGCATGGAGCACCCATGTTCTTCCAGTGTGTGTGTGGGTTTTATAAATGTTCCTAGGTCTGATTATGGTATAGATGGTTTGTTGAATGTCATATTGCCCTGTAAAGGCCATCAGACCAGGGTGTACCCCAAAATATCTCCTACTGACCTATGGAGATTGCTATCATTATCATCTCTTTTTCATCTGTAATATGATAATAAATGTTTTTTTAGCTATTGTAAACATGCCTTGGCTTTTTTTTCTCCATAATCTGTGTGCTGAGCTCACTTACTTGTATATAGTTAAAAGCAACTATCAATCAGTGACCCTAATATATGTTATATTGTTGTAATTTAATCTATACATTAATCAACAGTTTGTAAATAAACCATATTTAATTGCTTTTATTAAGCCTTCTCTGCAGCACCCTCTGGTGTGTGGATGACAGATTGTATAGTTTGTTTATGTCTGGAACCAGTTGCTCATTAAGCAAAAGGTTTGCATGTGAAATTATGTCAAGTTTTAGGAAACAAAGCTCAGTTGTTCTGACTTTGGTATGATTTCTAAACACTCAGGTGATGAAAATTCTAGTTTTCTTTTACCTTTTTTAAAGCGATAGAACAATAAAGGGCTCCATCTTGATAAATATTTACTAAATTAGTGGCTTATCTCAAACATGTTCCTATTTAGGGGTTGATCACTTTGTGTTAGTATTTAAGGTAAAAAGAATAATAAAGTTTTGCATTTATTTCATATTTTCCTTAAAGCTGCAGAGATATTGTACCATGTCTTTAAGGTTTTCTCTGTAATGAATAGTGTTTCCTTCTCCTGTAGGATGCCAGCTGAGAGGCCCACACCCTTTGTTTACATTTCCACTCTGCATCCATGGCTCCATCCTCTTCAGCAGGAACAGACTGCTGGGGATCTCCCCTGTTTTTTTCCTTTCAGCCTGCCCAGAAACGGAGCAGCCAGGCTGCACATCCATTGTCTCTGTTCCTCTTCTTGCTTCTCTCCTTCCTTGTCGCTGTTGCTAAGCTATCAGCATCCTTTAGTGAGTGGTACCCTCAGCAGGCAGCCACGCCCCTTTAAAATGTGAAGCTTGCTTTCTGTGACCAACAATTTAACAGAAAAATATTTCTTTTTCTTTGTAAATGTTGTAAGGAGCAGGGGAGTTCGCACTTACCAGCGGATTTAGTCTAAACTGTCATCCCGCGCCGAGGCAGTGAAATCCCCTTCCCAGCTTGCAGACTCACGCTCGTGGGCTGTGCCGATATTATATGTGGTGTCGCATCCGGCTCGAGGTGTTTTTTTCAATGTTAGCCACATAATACAGATGTGGTCCCCAAACGCGATGGCTGTTATTGTCCAATATCGCCATTGCACTTTCAGACTGGGCGTTACGTCATGCGGGGGGGCTGAACGCGGGTTGACAGGCAGACGAGCTGGGAAGGTGGTCCGCTGATTGGCTGGGGACCGAAGAGAAGGCGGGCCCGCTGATTGGCTGGGGACCGAGGAGGAGGCGGGCCCGCTGATTGGCTGGGGAGCGAAGAGGAGCCGGGCACGCTGATTGGCTGGGGACCGAAGAGGAGGCGGGCTGGCCTAGGCTCAGCAGCCAATAAAAAACCAACATCACTAACTTGGTACAACAGCATCCCTCACACACACACGGTTGTGTTTTTTTATAGCTTCAATTTTTGCACCTGTCTTTTTATGCCTTTCTATCACACATTGCTATCCTTATGTTATTTATTTCATTTTTGTTATAAAAGCTTTTATATAACAGCTAACTCCAGAATTATATACATTCCTTGCTGATTAGTACCACGTTTAAAAAGAGAATATAAACAAAATGCTTGATGATTGTAGAAGGCAACAATATGAATAAATAGCTAAATATGTGTTTAAATATATATATTATGTATAATATATGTATCTATGTATATGTATGTATGTATATATTCATATATATACATATATATGTATATATATATATATATACATACATATATATATATATATATATATATATATATATATATATATATATATATATATATATATACATACACATTTATTTCAACTTTTTCAGATTACTTAAAAATATATATTTAAAAAAAATATATATATATATATATATAAAATATATATATATAGATATATAGATATAGAGTTAATAGTTAGGGTCTGGGTTAGACCATATAAAATGAATGTAAGTCAATGAAGTGTCCCCATATGTCAGGAAAACAAAGGTGGTTGTGTGTGTGTATGTGCAATCATTTGACTAGGGTCTGCAGTCACCTGACCACCAAACCAACCTTATGTAACTCAGCGTCTCCCAATTAGTATAGGATCCCGTGAAAACATAGTTTAGAAGATTCTGGGGGAGGGAGACCAAGGATTTAAATACTTGACACCAGCACAGGAAGACGCATAATGTCCGAGCCCTATGTACACACAGCTCTTTAAACACATACTGATTGAATGAAAGCTTGAACATTCAGTTTATTCACACAAACATAATTTAACCGATTAGAAAAGTCGAAGCATCTAATCATCAGTTGATTAAGCCTTTTAGTAAAACATCTACGATAAATATAAGTTCAAACTCATCTAAGATAATCTCATTATAAACAGATTTCTTTCTTCTGAACATACCACTTAAGTATGTTAAGGTAAATATTTACAAAAGCACTACGAACTCCTTCATGAGAAAGTACTTGGCTTTTGTGCAAACATTAGACGATGAATGATTTACAGACATGATATGAATAGAATCCATTGGCAGTCATTTCAAACAAAAACAGCCCAACAGTGCTACTTGACCTTTTAAGAAATGTTTCCTAACACTGACATTGCACATTTGAACCAGCCTTCACACACACAAACATATATATATATCTATATATATAGATATAGATGTATTTTAAAAATGTATCATCAATGTCATTAAAACGCAAACTAAAATACCGTACATGTTAATATACTGCCGTACAGCTGCAGCGCTGCTTTGTTTGAAATGAGAGACAGAAAAGTCCTGAGGGAAACAAAGAGAGAGGCTATTATTGCACAGCAAATGTTCACACAGCTTTTTAGACAGAGCTCTCGGTATGAGCTGTTCATGCTTTGGCAACAGAGCCACCAAATGTGGCAGCTCCCACTGCCTCTCTAATTAACAGCCAAGCCTCCGTCTGGACAGAAACGTAGAAACGAATCTTCTTTTAAGTCTCCTCCAGGAGCTTCCTGAGGTTTTTTTGAATCTAGGATAGAAGAAAGAAGGAAAAAAAGAAACACATGTTTATTATTGTCCCTTACAGGTGATTTATTTCTGTTTTCATGTCTTTGGTCTGATTATGAAGGGGAGTTATCTTAGGATTTATTTGGAGAGCTCAGTAAGCCTGATAAGCTTGTTTTTAAAGGATTTACACTCAATATTCTTAAACCGTTGTACCCCTGTTGCCTTCAGCGGTAACCAGATGATTGATGTTGGTAATCTACAAGGTAAATTAACTGTGATTAATACCCTTTCACAGTTTTAAACAGAATTTGGCCCCCCACCCAGGATGACATAGTGTTAAGGGGCTGCATAACAGCTTGGTGACAAGTTGTATACTGATTGTGATCTTTGACAGTCAACATTTCCAAGCACGTACATTATTATCTATTTAAAAAGATTTAAACAGTCAAAAGTGTGAATAAACTTTTTGTATGAGGCAGCCATTTTGGAAGGTGGTGGAAAAACATCATACTTTCTCATCTAATTAATACGACCTTACTGTTTATTTAAAATCTAAAATGTTTAGCTTCTGGGCAAAAGGTAAACTATAATTAAATAGAAATAATTTGCCAAATATATAAAGTCAATGGATAAGTTGCACCTTTACTTAGTTTTAACTGGGTGAAGGTGCTACAGAGTAAACTGTATAACATATACTGCATAAAACAGACAATGTAAAAAGCTTGAAGAATGGTTGGCATCAAAAAGTCATTCATTGACATAAATTTAATCCCAACCCAATCAAGTTTTATGAAACAGCCAAGGTTGAAATGAGAGGTCTTATGAAACGGATGTCTGATTTAAGAAAAGCGATTCACTTGCTAACAGCTGGCGGAGTAAGTTGAAGGTACAATCTTAGGGGGGGATGTTAATCTTTAAATAGAGATTCCTCCGTAGTTTGATGTCGGGCTTAAAAAAGGTTCTGCAATAACACGTTAATTACATCTATGGGAACAAAATCTATCTATATTTAACTAAGATTTGGGAGAACTTTTAAAACCTTTGATCTTAGTTATAGTTTAAAGGCATTTCTACTAAGTATGAAGGAAATGTTACAAAACTTGCAATCAGTCTCTCAAAACATTTGCTTTCTTTATACTGACGTTCAACTATATGTTGTTCCTTATGTTCCTAACAGACCACTTCACTCTATATCTGCAGGTTTACTAGTCATTCCTACAATTTCTAAAATGGGAGGCAGATCTTTTAGTTATCAGGCTCCTCTACTGTGGAACCAACTACCAGTTTTAGTCCGTGAGGCAGACACCCTGTCTACTTCTTAAGGGAAGGCTTAAAACTTTCCGTTTTGATAAAGCTTATAGCTAGAGGTCCTTAGGTTTTCCTGAGCTATCTTCATAGTTATGCTGCTATAGGCTTAGACTGCTGGAGGACATGGAGACCCCTTTTTCCATCATCTTTTTTTATTCCATCTCTATTCTCCCAATTTTTTGAATTTGTTAGTTCAACTTCTAACTTTATGTTCTCTCTGCTTTTTCTCATCATAGTAGCTTCATCTGGCCTGTTCCTGTATGGCAGTGACTCCATCCTGGAGAGAAATATCTGCTGTGCTTTATAGATGTTCGAGATCGGCCTGTTTTTCAGTGTAGTCCTGTTTCTCTGACTGTGATTAACTGTATGTGCTCTCTTTCATCCTCTGACATGGGAGCTAGCTCGGAGCTCTTCTGTCTGGCTGTGTGTTTCCTGGTCAGTGGAGGTTTACAGTTGCCTTTTGTATCTCTGCATCTTTCTGTATGTCTGCTTCTGTCTCCTTGAACCCCAGTTGGCCTCGGCAAATGGCCGCTCACACTGAGCCTGGCTCTGCTGGAGGTTTCTTCCAGTTAAAATTGAGTTTTTCCTCTCCACTGTCGCTACAAGCATGCTTAGTGTGAGGAATTGCCTTTGAGTCAATTAATCGACGCAATCAACTGGTTTTCTTTAGATAGAAAACTTTGAATCAATTTGACTGTATGATCTGGTGAACTGTAAAGTGCCTTGAGATGACATGTGTTGTGAATTGGCGCTACAGAAATAAACTGAATTGAATTAACTCATCAAAGACAGAAGCAAACCTTGATGATATGTCAGGCATTTCGAAACACTTTTTAAACTGTTAAAATCTCAAAATGGCCCCATAATGTACACAGCATAGCAGTTGGCTCATGTTTTCTATAGACCGAACCAGGTAAAAGTTTTAACTTTTGTTTACAGCCTTCATTCAAGCCTCCACTGCACAATGTACCGTTCTATTTACTGTGCAAACATTAACAGATTGTTTTACTTAAACACAAACACTGAAATATGATGCTTGAAATCTTAAAAATGATCCTCTGAAACAAGTCATTCTGCTTGCTAGAGCTCTGTTTCTGCAAACGTTTGAACACAGCAAGATATAGCATTGGTAAGCGTGTCATTAGTAAATGAGCAGAGCAAACCTTCTCTAACTTGAACAGGTTAGTGGAGAGCTCCCCATAGATCTCAGCATTCACTTCAATCTGAGATCTTTGGCTTCCAGCGTTCCTGCAATGAAAGTTGGTTTTAAATCATTCAACAGATCCTGAAAGGTACAGTATGTGCTAGTTAGAATAAAACATCCTGTTCAAATCCCCTCACTCATTATGAACGAGCTCTCCCATTGACAACAAGGAGTTCAACCGGTGCTCAAGGGCCACGATCTTGAAGGCCATGTAGCAGGAGGACAAAACAAGGATGCCGACTCTGCATATATAAAAATAAGAAGAAAAAGAAACAGCAACTTAAGTTACAGCTCTCTGCCACAATCAGTAAAATGCATTAAAGTCACAGGAAGAAAGCAGCAGGGGGTTTTATTTCATCTTGACTCCACAGATATTACTCACAAGAACAGATAGATGAAGAGGAGGATTTGTAAGGACTTTGGCTGGGAGGATGTTTCTTTTGGTGTCTTGCTTTGGCCTATAATCACACATAAAAGGAGGGAAAATACATCATACTGAAAAGCTACTGTACATGAGTACATTTCAGGGTTTCTTCAGTTTAATATGTCATGAGTTGAGTAGAAAACATTTACCATGAACTTGCTTGAAAGTAGCCGAGCCATAGAGTGGATTTTATTCTGTAATTTACACTGATGCTAAGAATAACCAAAGCTGAAACAAGTTTGTGATGTTCAGACTGTGGTAAAAGGGCTCTTCTTCTTTTAAACTTCTCAGAAAATAGAAGAGAGTATCCTAGATCTCAGTTTGTGATCTCTGAAACGATTTGCCTGGTTTGTAAAAGTTCCTTAATAACTGTTTATTGTGTGGTTTGGCATTTTGGAAAGGATTTCAGTTCAACATCAACTTAGAGTTAAAGGCAGATGGCCCTTTTTTAATATATTGGGATGACTGCATTTAGCCAGTGAGTCAAAATCCCAAAACGGCAAAACTTAAAACTAAATGTTTTAAATGGGAAATTAAAGATCATGTATGTCAATTTAGTGTGCATCTGCGCAACAGTTTTCCTTTGGAAAATGGAAAAAAAAAGGCAGATAATAAAGCATTTTCCATTCTTCTTTTTTATTCTTATCCACATAATTAAAAAAAACTCTCCCGCCCACATCGGAATGCTGACATTTACAGTAACCTTTTGACTGGCAGAGCTGCAGCTTGGGGAAGCAGCTAAAGTCTTGAAACAGTTAGCTTTGCCATAAATAAACCACCTCAGGCTTTCTGCTAACATCCTAGGCCTAGCTAACAAGCAGGGATCTTTGTAGCTTCTGCATTTTAAAAAATGACCGTTTACTGTATTTACTTGCCATCTCGCTCTCTATAAAGGTATAGATATGACACATCTGAGATGCTCTCACATGCATAGCGCTGCTCTATTGGTAAAGTTATTAGGGATTTGGATTTTGTGAGAAACATTTAGACAAACTGTAAAAGCAAATTAACTAACAGGCCGATTAAGGAGAGCATTGATCAGAGAAGCAGTCATAAGTGTTCCTGGTAACTCTGGAGGAGCTGCAGAGATCCACTTGACATGTGAATTATTAGATATTTGTCAAAAAATCTGGGCTTTGTATAGAAGTTTCCAGATGAAAGCTGTTTTTGACTGTGGCGGCAGCATCATGCTGTGGGAAGGGTTTTGTTTTTAGCTCAGACGGGGAAGTAAACGTTGATGTGAGGATGAATTAGGCTAAATACTGAGCAATTCTAGCCTGGGTGCCAGTCAGAACTTAGTCCCGCCCACAAGGTTTGAGTTCGGGGAAGTTCGGTCTGGCTCTGCTCCATAGTAGCGCGAGTATTAAAGCCCACTGTCAGGCGATCCAATCAAATTGTCAGGGCGGACTTTATACGATGATGGACAGATGATCAACAGTAACGTAATCAACCACGTGACCAAAGCGCGCTAGGGTGACAACAATAATGGCTGCAGCTGGAGAGTTTGGGTGAGTAGATTCTGCTATTAGGTCTGTTCTAGAAGATATCGACAGCAAATTAATTTTAAAAGAGGAACAGAGAAACGCGAAACTGCACGCTTTGATTTTTGTGGACAACAACTATGCCTCGCTTAACATACGTCACGCACTCCGTTGCTCTTATTGGTTGTAGATCTATCCAATTGAGTGCAGAGGCATTTTTTTTCCTGGTTCGTTCGAAACACGCCCCATAATCACAGCTCTATGGAGCAGTATCAGACTCATATTCTGACTAGAATTGAGTCGGACTACGTCAGGCTAGAGCAATTCCAGAACAAACAAACAAAAAAAAAAGATCTACAGCAGATGCAGAACAACCCAAAACATACAAGTGAACCAACGGTTCAGATTAAAGCATATGAATCTGTTGGCCTGAATGAGGCATCGTATAAAACAGAAACCAAATGGAAAACAGCATTTCTTTTTGTATTGGTCGATGCGTGCAATGCTTTGGCCCATTCATAAGGGCATCTAGCAGCAGTTCCTTGAGATTAAATGAAGCACACTAGGGCTGAAACAATTAATCGGATTAATCGATTATTTTAAAAATCGTCAACTAATTTAGTAATTAATTAATTAATCGGTAAATGGAGTACAGAGAAAAAAAGCCTTTTCATCTGTCAATACGCTCTATCCAGAACTCAAGTGGAAACATTTTATTTTCACCTGGTTTAATTTATTAAAAAATCTTCTTTAAGGAACCTTTGGCTATCAGGTTATTAATTGATTAATCGAAAAAATAATCAACAGATTCATCAATTTGCAAAATAATTGCTAGTTGCAGCCCTAAAACACATGCATTGCCGCTCCTTCCATTTGCTACAGTATCTATTGCTAATGTTTTGTTTATTTCAATCTGAAAAACTCACACAGAGAGAAAAGATAATTAGAAGAATTTATTGATAAGAAAGTATAGTCTTTGGCGCTCAGACCTCGGCAGGAACATTCATGCTGAATTATGCTTTAACATGCATGAGTAGATGAATGTGAATAGGGATGTTCCCCCCGGGCCTGAAACTGGTGGTGGTTTAATCCGAGCTGGTTGACAAGGTGATCTGCTGGGCAGAATTGTGGGACTAGAAGACTGAGGGAGCTGACGCCGGGGCTTCACTCAGACTCGGGATATAGAGGTCCTGCTCGGTGATGCAGGTACCGTGAAGTGTCCATGATGAGCAAGCATGAAGCGACAGTGGAGAGGAAAAACTCCCCTATGGGAAGAAACCTCTGGCAGAACCGGGCTCAACATGGTGGTCTTCTGCCGGACCAATGCGATGAGACGATGGATGGTGACAACTGGGATTAATACTCTCTGATGAGGTTGAGGTGAAGTCGTGTCATGGAGGACGATTCAGCTGCGATGGCGGAGAAGGGGATGGAGGTGGGTGAATTGTCGTCTGGATCGAAATCCGACATTGCGATTGCAGGATAGCGGCTGTGGTGAGATTTGAGGGAGTTTATAAAGTGGAAGCAGGACGCTGATTGGGCTTCGTGGTGGAGTAGTTCAAAGCTGATTGGCTCGCTTCGGAGACGGATCGGCTTCTGATGATGTGAGGTAAGTCAGAGTTTCTTCAATTGAACTTTCGCTAGAGCTTCATTTCAATCTGAAAAACTCACACAGAGAGAAAAGATAATTAGAAGAATTTATTGATAAGAAAGTATAGTCTTTGGCGCTCAGACCTCGGCAGGAACATTCATGCTGAATTATGCTTTAACATGCATGAGTAGATGAATGTGAATAGGGATGTTCCCCCAAAAAGCCGAGGTCGAGGCCGGAGAGTCCGTATGCTCGTAGGGCATACGCTAGGGACAGAATAAAGAATGCGTAATGAAATGCTGAGAAGGTTTGCAAACAACTTACCGAGCCAGGTTGTTGATGAGGATGGCGACCACGGTTGACGCCGAGAACTTACCGATGATGATTTACCCATGATGATGATGATGATTTACCCATGATGATGATGATGATCCCATGATGATGATGATGATCCCATGATGATGATGATGATGATCCCATGATGGTGATGATGATGATGATCCCATGATGATGATGACGATGATGATCCCATGATGATGATGACGATGATGATCCCATGATGATGATGACGATGATGAACCCATGATGATGATGACGATGATGATGAATCCTGCGGATGATGATGACGATGGTGCATCCCATTATGATGACGATGATAATGAATCTTGCAGATGAGTCTGATAATGAATCTTGCGGATGAGTCCATATAGAACATATAACATGACGGGATACAGACATGACGAGACGGAGACATGGTGCATATTGATGCATTGAAAATGCAAGCAAAATGGCGTAAGGGATGCATGACAGGACACGACGAGACACAGATAGGGAGCATGTGATGCATGGGGAATGAATCTTGCGGATGAGTCTGATAATTAATCTTGCGGATGAGTCTGATAATGAATCTTGCGGATGAGTCTGATAATGAATCTTGCGGATGATTCTTGCGGATGGTTACATATATGAAGAATTGATGCATTAGGGAATGCATGCTAAATGGTGTCAAGGATGCATGACGAGACACAGACCAGACGTGACGTGACACACAGGAGAATGCATATAATGCCTGTCATAAAGGTGAGATTGCATGAATGCGAGCCAGAATGAAGATAGCATGAATAGCAAGGAGACAGCATGGAAGACTGCATGAAGCAGGGAATAATGAAGAAAACTGATAAGGAGTGGGAGTAGAAAATGAGTTAGAGGATGGTCGTGATTAGGTCAGAAAATTATGAAAATGAGTTGAACCACCACCAGTATTTGTAATAGAGTTACCTAGAGGCAGAGAGAGCACTGAGCTGAGAGAATTGGTGAGAGTTCTGGGCGGATGAATGAGGTATAGGCTGGTGAGCCATCGGCCCAGAGCTGAGGGAAGCCTCAGAACCCCGCGAGTAGCTGCAATGCAGCTGCTCGGTCCAGAACGAATGCCCAGATTACCTACTAGAGGGAAGGCCACGTGATTCTAAGAGTATCCTGAGGTGGTGAAGAACCATGAGTGGACGTAGGGTAATGCTTGGGCGAATAAAGTGCTGAATGCCTGAACATAACGCACTGAGATGATGAAACGTTAGTGACTGCTGCCAGTGATGCTTCTGATGAAGGCATGAGAGACTGGGAGGAGGAGTGACTTATTAGTGGCTTCAACTACGAAGTTATCGCAGTGGGCGGACGCGATTCCTTCCCAAAGCCCCACGATGCAAGCTAGCTAGGGTTAGACCTCACACAAGCATAATGGGTGTGAATAAAAGAGACCATGAACCACCTGTCCTGAAGAACCCCCCAAAACCTACGGATGCAGCATCCGTAAAATTTTTGAAGCATGGCAGGAGATAGATAATGTCGACATAGAAAGAAATTTGTTCCAATAGAAGCAGTCAGACCAGAGATCCGAACGGCAGCCTACGTTCAGTAATCTGACCAAGAGAGGGACGGAAATTGCCGGATCAAGCAACTGGGAATGAAAGCGCGGCCTTGAGAAATAAGCGCATGGCAAATTAGCTGACCTAGCAAGGAGCGCAATTGGCATTTAGAAATGACTGATGGAGAACATCAGTTTTGTGTTTTTTTTTGTTTTGTTTTTTGTTTTTTTTTGAAGAAGACAGAACGATAATCAGAAGTAATAATAAGGGGTGGTAAGATGACGGGCTGCTAAGACTGAGGTACGATATATATGAAGCGTGCACGGCGGGGACAGACTGATCGGATGGCCCTCCTGCAGAAGCTCTGAGTAATCACGTTAGATGCTGAATGCGGCCAAAAATTTTGGCCAATAGAAAGATCTCTGGTAGACGGAGATCGGATGATTTAAGAAAAACTGTGAAGTCACCTGCTGATGCGACCTGCTGATCGACTTCAGGGGAGGGAAGAATAAGAGACTAAATTAAAATATTCCCCTGAATAATTAGAACGAGGCCAGTGAAAATATCAGCATGTGTGTTAATATAAGTATGCCTGATAGAGGCAGACGAAGCATAAGAGCAAACTCAAATAGATAGAAAATTATGAATGAAAACATGGTTGAATACGTCTTACCCTAAGGCTGGCCCGGCGGGCGTTCCCTAATGTGAATGAGGGGAGGGGGAGGTCCGTCTGAGCAGACAGCGGCAGGGATGACGTGGCAGTGCAGGGATTCCCACGTTTGGAGCGTGCGGACAGCGTCGAAGGATTGAGTGAGAGAGTCCGGTGGAGCGGAGGGAGGCTGAGAGCCGTTAAACGCCAGAAGGACTAGACGGGGGAGCTGCTATGAATCAGGAAGCTGGAGAAGGTCCAAGGCTGCATCGAAACGATGAGAAGGAGCGGGCGCAGCGGTGACTGCTGCTGGGACAGATCCGGGAGGCCTTCTGCGCCTGGCGAGGGGAGCGGAGGACTTGCATGTCTTTTGCGGCCAGGAATCGGAGCGGATTGAAGCGGAAGGCGAGGGAGATGAATCACGAGGAGGTAGGAGGGAGGCTCGTTAAGACATCTGAGCAGAGTCTAGGTCGGAGCCTGGCAATACACCCTTGGAGTGTAACGCGGAAGAAGGAGATGAGAGCGGCTAGACGGGAGCTTCTCCGAGCGGGGAAAATTGAATTGTCGTCTGGATCGAAATCCGACATTGCGATTGCAGGATAGCGGCTGTGGTGAGATTTGAGGGAGTTTATAAAGTGGAAGCAGGACGCTGATTGGGCTTCGTGGTGGAGTAGTTCAAAGCTGATTGGCTCGCTTCGGAGACGGATCGGCTTCTGATGATGTGAGGTAAGTCAGAGTTTCTTCAATTGAACTTTCGCTAGAGCTTCATGTTAATAAATATTTCTTTTTTTCTCCCTAAAATATTGGCAGCACACATCAGCAATCAGTTTGGCCAATGTCAAGATAACAGGCATGAACTGTAAAAAGTTACTTAAAACTAGGGAAAAAATATAGAAATAAGTGTATATTGACTTGATTATAGTAGATAACTAAAATAATCCACAGAAGCAAATAAAATATTTGCCGCTAAAATCAGAAGAAAACATTTCTATTATTAAATTTGGTACCTATAGGTATCTTATTTTGGAGCAAAAGCATAGGCAGAAACATTTACTTAGCTGCTAAAGTGAAGGGCAGATATTATCAATATTAGATACATTGTACAGTGTAAACATCTATAAATCTATAAATCATTTCTATAAATTATCAAGGGACACATATTGTGGTCATAGCTATTTTGAGGAAATGCAGGAATAGTGGTTCATAACAGGGAAATAAGCTACAGATGAGAATTCACAGTCGAGAGGAAGGCTAAAGAAATCTCAGAAATGAAATACCATTTTTGAGCATGGCTCCATGCTTTTGGCTTGGACTCTGGAGATGAACGTCTGCGTGGACCGACACCTCTCTGGTCTTCGCTGCACTTAGAAATGTTTCTGGGAGGCTGCTGAAGTCTGCACACATAAACAGAGAGAAGCCCAGTAACTTGAGTAAATATTAACACTATGTCAAAATCCTTTACAAATCAACAACTGCTTTTAAGGCCAGAAAAAAAACCCTTATGGATGATCTGTAAGATATTGGTCATCGTTACAAAAACAAGCAAAGCCTCTGGGGTCAAATGTTTCTTGGCTTTTGTTACCCTAAACAAAGACTATGATATCTGAAACCTTTCAAAACAAGAACTCCAGAGGAAATCAAGGTGGGGTCTGTGGTATTTTATTACAAAAAGAGAGCACACACCGCTTATTTTGTCATAATCTGGAGTCTGCGACCCAGAGCTGCTGCTTTCAGTCATGTCCTGCCGCCTCTGCTGCACAACTCCGTCCAGGTCAGAGAAGTCTCCAGAAAAGTCCTGCAAACACAAACACTCAGCAAAGTACACCGCAAGCACAGAGGGTGTAGATTTACACGACAACAATGCACGTCCACATTCCATCACAATGGATCAGGTACAATGAATTCATCCTGAACAAACATGGGAGAAAATTAGAGGACAGACCCCTTACTGACCAGAGGAAGCGACGCGGGGCAGCTGGTTCTGAAGCTGTTTTCACAGGAGGACGCTACAGGGCTGCTACTAATCTTATTCACCTACAATCAAAACATGGGCTGTTTCAGTACAAATACTGAACATATTTGCATCAATATTTCAAAACCTAAACTGTTACTGTTTGGAATTTATTGTTTTTGTTTGTTTTTTTCTTTTGCAATTCCGGGTCCATAAACAATCAAGCAACATTAGCATAGGCAAATATGTGGTTTACACAAATAAGCATGTACTGCAGCTGCAGAACACAATATATCGATGTAACTAGTGTGTAAAAGTAGCTAAAGCTTATTTAATTTAAAACAGTATCCAAATTTGTACAAGTACTGAATTTCATCTGTGTATATTTTGTCTTTGTCAGTATTGTTACAGATGCCAAAAAAGTACCTTCATAAAAGTTAGTATCGTGAGACACCATTAAAAATAAAGGAAATTAGCTTAAACCAACATAGCTTGAAAACACACATTCCTTATAAGGTTATTATACATTTTCTTTCAATAAAAGCATTGAAAAACCACAATCCTTTTTCGCACATACACAACAAGAAATAACTGATGGGTATTTATTTTTGTTTTAGGAAACAGAATTAAAAGTAATTATTACTATCCTAATTTTTAAAAGCATGATAAACCACAACGGCGTAACTATCGGTAATGCAGTTGCTTAGAGGCCCTTGACCTCTTAGGGGCCCCGTCACTGACACCTGGTTGGCCCCCTACGCAATTGTAAGCTAGGACTTCTCTTTGCAGATGTAATGGTGCGATAAATTCCTCTTAAGCCCACCTGATACTAAATTTACTGACTGCACATGATGGTGAGCAATGTTAACATCAATAGCAAAGCAGACAGTGGTACTTTTAATTACTATGTTAATAACTGTGTATAGTTTGACGGTTGGTAAAGATACACTCATTTAATATAGTTGGAGGGGGGGATTTGTACTTCATATGGGGCCCACCCAGATAATATTGCTTAGGGGTCTATTGATAAATCACATTGGGTAATTATGGTAATAAAGACCTTCTACAAACTCTTAAGTAAGGAAAGTCGCTATCGACTGTCTCGTAGTAGTTGCTTATTTCTATGCTTAAACATATATATATATATATATATATATATATATATATATATATATTATATAAATGTCTTAAAGGTGCTACCATCTACAAACTGACACAGTGGTACGGTCTTTCCATTTCAAAAATGAAGAGTGAACTTCGCTGGATGAAAACTCGAATTACAGGAAATGTAATTTGCATATTTGTTATCACATTTATCCAGCTGTAGGAGAGGGAGATCAACTCCAGCTGGACTGAACATGAATAAAAACATTCTAAATATGTATAAAACTACAGATTAACTCTATACATTGTTTTATGTACCCAATGTACCTAAACCAAAATTAAATAGATTAGTGATATTATGTTATCAAATTCAACTTAAAGAAAGGCACTCAGTGGATGTGACTGTGTATGAATAAAATGCCAGAAAGGATCTACATTTTGAGACTTCTGCATCATGAGGGTGATGTTTTTTTTCTTGAAACACAGACTTAATCATTCAGACTCTCATAGTGAATAGAAAATGCATAAAATATTATACAGAATTGCCTAATTTTATCCAAATTTATGATATCATTTAATTTATCCGATTTTTTTTTTTCAGAAAGTTCAATGGCATTTGAAAAATTAGAATGTTCTTTCAATTATTTCATGGTTCAGGTTTTAAAGGGTCCCTAACATTACATAGGGTTTATATTTATATATCAGTTAAAAATTACTAAATAATCATTAACAGTTACATTTACACAAAGTTAGATTTCAAGGAAATACATTTAATTTAGAAGTTCAGACTACTTCATCCGGACAGAGCTTTGGTTAGCCAGCTTATTGATAACATGTAAAATGTTATGAATGGGAACTGAGTATTGAACTTTATTGTCTTTACACTTACAGCAACGCAATTAACTCTGTGCCTTTAACCTATCCCATTGGGGAGCAGTGGGCTTGCCATTGTGCGGCGCCCGAGGAGCAATGTGACTCAGAATCCTCTGGAAGGTTCTGAGAACCTGGGTTCTCAGTGGTGTTGAGCCAATGCCATTTTTTGGCCCCGATACCTGGCTGTGCACTATTGGCCAATACCGATACCATCTGTTTGAAATTAATGTTTGTGTGTATATTTGAAGAACTGCATACTACTTGGATGTAAAACAATTGCCATCATAGCTTTGTCAAACTGCTGCCTAGCTTTGTGAAGCAGGAAAAAGACTAAGGTGCAGATTAGACTTCTACAACCGCACACATCAAATGTCACTTGGGTCTGGTCGCGAACCAGTTTTGCTGCTATGCTTCTGCACCATCGGTCTGGAATTTCTAGGGACGCACAGCAGTTTCCCGCCAAAGTGCAAGGGGGAGCCTATTCGAGAACTCGCAAGAACTTTGGTGGATGGTCACGAGAACTTTGGCGGCGCCGGAGGGAGTGTTTATCTTCCAAAACAACAATGGCGCGTCTGCAAGATATCATGAACACGGAGATGGATCTATACTAGACATCGAAGAGGAACAGCTTCTGTTTTTGTCAATGGAGTTGGTAAAAAGAAAAAGGAGGATGCGTAGGTGGTCTGTATGCCCCTTTCGTCATAGTTGACTATTGCAGTTGTTCCTCGGTTTTTAAAAATGGCGCACCCCGGCACCAGATCGAGAAGGACGACCACACAGACATCACAAGGACCAATCACAGCTGCTTTTTGTCTGTGCACTTCTGCTTGAGGTCTGCGCAGGTTTGCGACCTTCCGACACGTAGTTAGGATTCTTTTGAGGTGGGCGAAAATGGTTGCAGAACCTCTACACGGAGGTGTGGTCCGTTTTATTGCCTACCTGGAATGGGTGACAATAGTTGAATAAACTTTTGGCTCTCAAAACGGTATCTGTGCTCTATTTGTTGGTTGTCGCCCATACCACCATTTTAGTGCTGGATCGGTGCCCCACCCAATACCGCTATCGGTGCAACACTAGTTGTCAGAACCTCTCCACAATGAATTAGGCCCCAACAAGATTTGAACTTGTGACCCTGGTTGACATGACCAGAGCTCTAACCACTGAGCTATAGGGCTTCAGCTGACCTCAGATAGATGGGAATCGAAACAAGGAATGGGAATCGGAAGAGAAATCGTTAAAATTCAAACAGTGCCAAACATGCATGTGAGGTATTTGCTTTAGGTCTTTTCTAGTCATTATTAAAATATAAGGTTATTTACAAAAAACGTCTTATTTACCTCCAAATGAGCGCAGATGGATTTCAGGAATTTAAAGGTGTTGTTTCGAGAGAGAAACGACACAAAGACATGCTGTAAAAGAAAAAAAGATAAAGTTACTATCAGGTTTGTGCTCTAACAAGAACAATAGTTGTATAGTTTCCTTACATCCATTTCTGTAGTTCCAATCACAAGGGCGTTTGGCACCAGTAATGCAGTTTTAGTTTTTTTTAATAGTTTCACAGACATGACTGGGATGGAAATCTGGCAACCAGGAAACACAATCAATGCCAATTGATCAGGATTGGAAACGATAATTATTTCTCTGATTGCAGGTTTCCTGTAGCATACCTTAATATCTTTACCGAAGACTTTGGAGTGGAAACAGATCCAGTTTTGTGAGACAAACATTTTGCCCTGATATAGCATGTCTCTCTGCAGGGCGCAGGTGTAACCTGATGACAACACACACATTTAGTTTCCTAAATTAAACAATCCAACATACCTTTGTTCTTCAAACGGCAGCGTGTGGAGCTTACTCTGTCTGAGCGGTTCATCTTTGGTGACTACCTTGAATAACTTGTGGAACTGAGCGTTGGTCTTTGATAGCTGCAAAAAAAAAAACAGGACCATAAATTACTAGAAAAAAAACTGGTGGGTTTTGCTATGAAAAGAATTGCTACCTGGTTGGTCTGGGATTTTTTTCTGTCAAACTTGGTTTCAAAGTCGCTCAGACTCAGCATTGGTGAAAGCTGCTCCACGGGTTTCTGTCTGCTGCATAGAAAGGTCAGTGTTTATGGTTGGGTAGCCTGGTAACCACAGAGACTATAGAGGGAAAACTACACGTCATATTATCACTCAAGCTTAAATGTCCAATTTGAATGCTGTGTGTTTACCTTAAGACTGTTTACAAATCAGCCAAGGAAATCTGTAAACAGGACTGTGGTCATACAGGTATAAAGAAGGGCTGGTTTAAGAAAATGTAGGAGTTGGAAAGTAGGAAAATTATGCTGATTTAAGCAGATTTTTAAATGCATCGCTAGTGGACGTTACATGCCTGCATTGGCCGATTCATTAGTGCATCTAGCAGCCAAACCTTAAGATCACATCAAGTGCATTCTTTCCCACTCTCTCTATTTGCTCTTATGGAGTGAATTTTGTTCCATTATTATTGCAAACTTATTCTATAAATGGGAATTTATTTGTAATAAATTTACTTTTAATAAAGGCAATCCAAGAAGTACACTAACGTTTTTTTTTTTTATTATTATTTAGAGAGTAGAGTCTTTTCCAGAATATTTTTTCTATATATATTATTTTTAATTTCACATTTCTACTTTTATTTTCTTTTTTCCAGGTTGATTTTTATAATTCACATTCTTTTCAAATGATGTTTTAATCGTCTTAATTCTGTAGTCAAATGAGGAGCAAAGATGCATTTCTATCGCTCTGCATGCAAGTCAGCGACGACATCTGTATTGGGCTTGAAGTGAAAAAAAATGGAAATATGAAATGAAATTGAAAAAAATAAAGTTTGAAAAAATTTAATTTAGAAAAAAACAGCAAAGTTACACTCAAAACCTTGCTTTTATTTCAAATTTCTATTTACAAACATGTTCTTTACTTGTAAAGGAACAAAGATTACTCCATATTACCCATTGTTAACGTTTTGTTTGATCTGTTAAACATCAAATGTTGAACATTTATCATGGTGGCATTTCTTCATGTAAATAAATGGAAAGCCAAAAGAATCATTCCAAAATCATCAGCAACAGATATCAGGGATCTGTTAGACTGATGTCAACATGATAGGTATCTGCATCGGCCTTAAAAAAAAATGTAATGCTTCATCTCTATTGAGAAACAGCCAGTATGAAATTTGAATGGTATTATACTTATTAACAATAATACCATTTTTATCTAACAATTGAAGTTACAGACAAATAAATGCAAATTATCTAATTTGTTTAAACAAAAAGCAACAATTAATCCTACTGCTACTAAAACAATGTGACATATTGATTGTTAAGCAAAAACAACACGGATTACATTTATATGTTATTTCCATATCTAAGCACCTGCTTATGGAGGATGTGCTTTTTTCACAGCATATACAAACATTTCACCTGTTCTTTCCCAAATAAAATAATACAACTTAACAGGACATCTTGTAAATAAATGACTGTTATTTAAAAAAAAAGACAAAATTAAGTTGGAGTCTTCTGTCCGTCAGGTGACAGGAGACAAAGCAACAGGTGTGGGAGGGGTAACACTGCATTACTCTTGTCACAGTCAGGGTTCTGTTTTGTTTTCTTTTGGGTATTCAGTTTTACTTTGCTCCATGTTTTCTAGTTTTAGTGGTTTAATTCTTATTTTGCTGTGTTCTCTGGTTATTTTACAGTTTTCAGGTTTTTATTTGTTGCCCTCTGCTGCCCTCTTGTGTTCTCCTTTTTCCCTAGCTCCTTTCCTGTCTGCTCTGTTCACTCCTGCTCCCAATCTGCTCATTAGTCCCCTCTTTGTTCTGTCTCCCATAAATACTCTTTGTGCAGTTCCTCATCTAACTTCGACCTACACCATCTTATAGTGTCTTACGTCATCGTGATTGTTTTCCCCTGATGTCCCCATGGTTTCTGGTTTGTTTAACTTTTTTCTTGTTGGACTTTTTGGATTTCTGCCTCAGCTGTTTGTTTACCTCGCATTAAATAAAAAAAAAAATAATAACCTTTGCCTCCCTGCCTCTGCATTTGGGTCCACAAACCTCAACCAAATCTTGACAACTCTATGTTCCAAAAGAAAACAACATCTTATGAAAAGCTTTGATGGGGCTTTGATGAATAGAACTGGTACAAAGCGGCTAAAGATTCTCACACCGCATGCTCCTCATAGCTCAGATTAAAACAAATAACCACAGCTCCACATTACCATGTAACCAGGTGGCTATATGAAGACAGGAGTGAATGCATAGAAGTGTTAGGATGTTTCTATATTTTTTGTTTATATATTTTTTATACAGCTGGACTAATAAACTATTAGCAAATATCTTCAGTCACTAGAACTAGAAACCACGGATCCACCTCTAAATCAGACATTAACCAAGTCGGCCTTCTATCAACTAAAGAACATATCCAGGATTAGAGAAATAATGTCTTAGTAAGATCTTGGGAAAATAATTCAGCCATTTATCTGTCGGACAATTGATTACTGCAATGTTTTCTTCAAAGACCTGCTCAAAAAGTCAATCAGACAGACGCAGTAGATCCAAAATCCTGCTGTCTGCCTCACTAAAACTAAGAAAGTAGGACTTTAAAACCCCACTTTTAAAACTGTTAATGTTATCTCAGAGAATATACAGTAAAATCCTTCTGTTAGTCTATAAATCACTGAATGGCTTAGGTCCAAAATACATTACAAACTTTCTCCTCAGTGTATAAACCCCCCAGACCTCTCAGGTCACCTAGTTCGTCTGCTCTCCACACCAAGAACCGGAACAACACATTTAGTTCTTATGCTCCACTAATCTGGACAAACTCCAGGAAGACTGTAGAAGTGCTGAAACTCTAAGTTGCTTTAAATCAAGGTTGAAAACCTATTTGCTTGGAATGGCCTTTGACTGTTCTGTAAAATAAAACATCATTAACTTCAGTCCATAGTCCAGCCTTTTCTTTCTTTTCCTTTATAGAAACACAACAGTGCACTTATGTTTTGTTTCATGTAAAGAACATTGAATTGTCTTGCTGTTGAAAATGTGCTTTACACATAGACGTGCCTTGCCCTGAGTAAATATACAAGTTTAAAAGCATGATCTATACAAATAAAATCTAAAAAGATGGTGAGCCGGCGGCTTTTACTTCAAACAGAACAGCATTTGTCACACTGACTGCTGGAAAAAAGTCAATGGAATAGAAATGGGCCGATCCAGGGTTTTTAAGGTTGATCATTTTAACATCTTTATAACCGATCCCTGGTATGCCCTGCCGATATTTTTGGACCTGTTCTTGGAGCCCATATTGTTTTTTCTTCCTTTATTTACATGATAAAAAGATTATAAGAAACTATATTAAAAAAACATTTATTAACAAAAATTAACAACAACAATTTATAGCAAATATAGGGTATGGGAAAATGCATGCACTCCACATTATCTTACATCATGGCTGCTGAATGCACTTATGAAGTGACCAACTGTGCAGGTATTAGCCGGTACCGATAAGGGCTGGGGAATTAATAAATTCGCAATTTAGCAAAATTACATTTTCAAATCGCAGCGGGGCTCAATTTTAGTCACATTACATTGAACAAGAGTAATAAGCGCAAAATATTTCCCTCGTTTAGGTGGTGGTAATACAATTAACGTGGGTTTGCTGCCACACAGTAAGGGGGGAGAGTTGCAGCTGGCATGCAGATCCATGAATAATAGTAGAAATAAGAAGTTTGTCATGCAAAGGATACAGTAAACAATTTGGACAAGGAAGCTTTTAAGGTCATGAAAAAACTGAAACCCTAAGGTGAAACATCTACATACTTTGTCTTAGTGCAAAGAAAAATCACAACTGCAATATCATTGAAGAAAATAACTATTTTAGTTATCATCTTCAGCCCTATAAATATTTAAAAGCTCGACACTTTATAGAAATCTGTGGTTATAACAACTAATCGATGCAGGAGCCTCCTTTCAGCTAACTAACAGAAGCAAGCAGCAACAGACAACTTTGGGAAATTTTATAAAATGTAATAAATCAGGAAATAAACAATAACAGAGCTCCTATCAAATTAGATACATTCATTATTCTTTAAAAGCTGCTTGCTTGCTAAAATTTGCACATTTGTTTTATTTAATCAATCACTCTTCTAGATAGATAGATAGATAGATAATAGATAGATAGATAATAGATAGATAGATGATAGATAGATAGATAGATAGATAGATAGATAGATAGATAGATAGATAGATAGATAGATAGATAGATAGATAGATAGATGAGAAATATACTACAAGGCAAAACCAAACAGTTCTATTACAGCTGCATTACTATCTAATTATTCCCTATGTTTGAAGGAAACTGCACAACTTTCTCTTGAATATTTTTAAAGGACTTTAAACCATGGTGGCAGAATGACTTAAAGCTGTTAAAACTGTAACTTTTTAAAAAGCTTATCCAAACTGAGCAAACAGTAAGTAAATACATGCCTGGTTAACGCTGCAGCTATAAACACTGAATATAGTAATGAATTTGGAAGCTAGTGAATAAAGATTTATTAAAGAGGCATGACATTGCTATGCTAGGAAATTTTGACTTTATAGACTTGCCTAAGATCATAAAAGATGGAAAGTCTAATATAGAGTTCTTCAATGTTAAACACATAAAGGTAAAAATCAATAATGCATTGCTGATCACCTGATGCCGGCTGGTTTCTTCCTGCTCTCTGAGGGATCTGACTCTGGTTCCAGCAGGAGCTGGAGGTCTGCAGGGGGCCGGCCACGCCTCCTCTGCCTCCTCTCTTCCTCATTGTTCCCTTCAGAAGACCTGGACACAGATGAGAACATAAGAGAGTCAAACATAGGAGAAAGTGTTGAATGACACTTTGCATGCAGTATATTAGCCCACACCTGGATGAAACCACCATAAATCATCTGCTACAGGTTATTAATCGCCCTGACTTGCTGCGATTGTTGTTTTAATGGTTAACTGAACATGTAGCCAGGAGGCAAATAAATAAATAAATAAATAAATACATAAATACAAGCCTTTATGGTTTAAATCCTGCGCGTAAATTGGACCCCTAGGGGGCGCCACCATGAGGACTGACATATAACGCTTAAAGTAAAGCAAATTTTCCAACATTTGCAGAGAAGTTTGGTCATCTAGGTTTTCTGAATGCAAATGAAGCCACTCTGGTCTGCGCCACGTCCGCCTATTTAGTTACCACCTCCCTTTGTATTTAAATACAAAGTATGGAGCAGGATGGGAATGCAAATAGCGGCTATCCATTCTGTCTGGATCGTTTTTCCCTTCCTTAGTAAATAAATAGAACATAGAAGTAAACAATGCGAGGCCTGGCATCTCTTCCCAGACTCACGTCAAGCTTTTCCCTCGAGACTCTTTGCAGGGAAGTTGTTGTGGGGCAGACAGCTGGATCACAGGTTCCTCCGCCTGCTCGCTCATCTGGACCAGACTCTATGGATCATGTCTCCCTGTCCTTCCTTCATAAAGCGGACGGTTTTCAGAAAGTCTGGAAAGTTTTCTTTTTTTTTTTTTTTCTTGTGTGGTTTGGGACGGTGGCTCGATGAACGGAGGAGCAGCTCAGAGGAGGAGCTGGGAAGAAGGGGGAGGGAGCAGCTGGGAGCAACGTCAGGAGAAACGGAGAAGAGCGGAGCGCAGTCCTCCAGCTGCACAGGACCGGAGGGGCTGCTTCACTCTAAAGTTCCCTCATTAGTAGAAAACACATTACTTCGTTCTAGTATTTGTCAAGCAATAAATTCAATCTATATTTTTTATTAGCTGTAAAGTTAAGTATAATTTTTCCCAAAACGTCAGAGAGCAGTGTAATTCCAATAAAGCTCCAACAGGGGGCAGCAGTTGGTTTCTAATTGTTATTAGTTATCCCATTTAGTCTTTTCTTTGCCCATAAACGAACCATGTCTATATGGTACGGAAGAGGGTTAGGTTACGGCCATTGAAATAAAATAATAATAAAAACTTGACCGATTTTTAAATTTTACTTCAGTTTAAAATGGGAAAAAGTCAGATTTCTGAGATTAAAGTCAGAATTCAGTCAGAATTCTGATATTAAAGTCAGAATTCTGAGATTAAATTCTGATTTTGAGGAAAAAAAGTCTGAATTCTGAGATTAAAGTCAGAATTCTGAGATTAAAGTCAGAGATCTGAGATTAAAGTCAGAATTCTGAGATTAGAGTCAGTATTCTGATATAAAAGTCAGAATTCAGTCAGAATTCTGAGATTAAATTCTGATTTTGAGAAAAAACAGTCAGAATTCTGAGATTAAAGTCAGATTTCTGAGAAAAAGTCAGAATTCTGAGATTTAAGCCAGAATTCTGATATTAAAGTCAGAACTTTGAGATTAAAGTCAGAATTCTGAGATTAAAGTCAGAATTCTGAGATTACAGTCAGAATTCTGAGAAAAAATTCAGAATTCAAACATTTTCCTATATTAAACTGTAATAAAATTTAAAAATCAGTTAACTTTTTTTTATTTTTTGTGTGGCCGTAATCCTCTTCCTTAATATGGAGGACCAATCCTTGTCATGATCTGGCCTGTTTGCTCCTCCCTAATTAGTAATTCCTCTCACCTGCCCTTTTCCCTCCCTGCCTCAATTATAATTTATTCCTCTCACCTGTTTCCTCTGGTTTACATTCAGTTCAGCCTGAGCATTCAGGGCCAGATCATTACTTGTCTTTCTGTCAGTCTTTCTGTTCAGTTTTATTTTATGGTTCATGTCCTGGATCCTAGCTGCCAGTGGAAAGAGGGTTTTAGTGTTTGTCTCGTCTCCTGATCGTCCACTGTTCCTTCCCCGCGGAGTCCTCTGGGTTTTTGGCTCATTATGGGGGGAGGTTCAGTTTTTATCCAGTAAGCCTGGCTCCAGGGAGGAGACCAGTTTAAAGTCCTGCTTAAAGTTCTGGTTCCTACGTCCTTTATCTGCTACCCTCTTCCACTGAGCCTGCCTGTCTGCACCTGATCCTGTCTGCTCCTGTGCGTGACCAACTGGTCATGCTTCTGGTCCCAGTCACACTCTGAACCCTCCTGGAAGCCTGTGGATGCCTGGAAGTCTGGATCCTGCCACCTGTTTCTGTTCCTGCCTGATCTGGATCCTGCCTGTTCTGTCTGTTCCTGTCTGTTCTGGATCCCTCACCAGGACCGGCTTCCAGCATCACCTCTGGGACTGCAGCACTGGGGACACTCGTGGTCTGGAGTGTTAAACCAGGTAAGTGACCAACACAGATAATCTTCTATCAGTTGATCGTGGTCACTTACCTGTGTTTCTCCCCTAGAGTGTCTGAGATTGGGCGGTGCCCCGCCCCCCCGCCTGCAGTGTCGCGAGCCACAGCTCCGCTTTTGTTTTGTTTTATTTAAACGTTTGAACTTTCCTACTGACTTTCTCTCCTTGAATACTGGGTCCATCTGTCCTCGTTTCATGACAATCCTACCATAATTAAAAATAAACACAGAAATGAATAAATGTTCCAATATAAATAAGCATACAATTAATTTCCCCACAAAAATACAATAAATAAATAAATGTAGGTAGAAATTAAATTATACAGTTAGAAATAAATATATATATATATATATATATATATATATATATATATATATATATATATATATATATATATCTTTTATTTAGCTTATCTGTTTATTTACCTTTGTAATAATTGACATATTTATTTATTGTCCGATATAATCTTCAACTTTATTTATTTATTACCTATTACTTTAAGTATTTATATGTGTGTTATAATATTTTTGTCTTTTTTATTCTTCCTTTGTATTTTTTTACACTGTTTATTTCTTCAACGCTATTCATTTCTGCCTGTCGAATTTACATACGACTGGTTGGCTGCTAACCAACCAATGGGCAGAAGGTGACCCTCTAAGACACACTCCTCCTCATTTGCATAATGAGGCAGAAATGCATACAGAAATGCAAAAACGACAGGCAGAAATAAATTTGATTAAAAAATACAAAGGAAGAATAAACCATACAAAATATTGCAACATGCACATAAATAAATACTTAAAGAAATAAGTAATAAATAAATAAAGTTGAAGACTATAACGGACAATAAATAAATAAGGTAATTATTACAAAGGCCAATAAACAAAGAAGTTCATTAAAAGAGATATATATTTAGGTCTCACTGTATAATTTAATTTCTACCTACATTTATTTGTTTATTTATTTTTGGAACATTTATTTATTTCTGTGTTTATTTTTAAATATGGCAGGATTGGTCATCTATTGCACTGTGGCCCTAAATCACTTTAAATCTAAATGGAAAACACTTTTTTTTTTTTTTTTTTAGAATGGCCTTTGACTGTGATATCTAAACACAATTAATAAAGTTTTCAGTCTGACTTTCAATTTTTCAATAAAGACTTTTTGAACTCATCCTGATCTATCCGTTTTGAATATTGGATCCAAAGTTCCGAGCCTCTGACAGAAGCATGCAGCAACAGGACAGCTTTTGGGAATTTCATAAAATGTTATAAATCAAGAAAAATATAATTACAGGGTTCATATAAAGATACATTCTTTAAGTAAATTTCCCAAATCGTTAGAGAGCAGTGTGATTGCAATGAAGCTCCAGCAGGGGGCAGCAGATGATTTCTATGTGTTTCTAGTCATCCCATTTCTACTTTTTTTATGCCCATAAACCAACCATGTTTTACCCCATCCAGTTTTGAGTTAATAATTTTTGATTGAATTAATAATGAGGAATAATTTTAACAAGACTTAAAATCACATTCTGCTTTTGTTCAACTTTATTCCTATTTAGGACCAAATATTGATCTCTACCAATTTGCAATGAACTCCCAGAAAATAAATCCTTTTTTTTTCTTCTTTTTTTTCTCTTTTTTTTTTTAGAATGGCCTTGACTGTGCGTTTTTCAGTCCGACTTTCAATTTTTATCCATGTTTTTTCATAAAATCATCTCCTTTTTATCTTATGTAGAGCACTTTAAAATAGCTTGCTGCCTTGCTAGGGAAAGTTGACTCCTATTTTACCCTTGATTAATCCAAAATAAGGAATATCCAACTAAAAGGTAAATTCATAATCCTATTTGGAGACATAAAACTGGGTTTCATTATAAGATCAAATTAGATGAAAACTTCTTTGAAAGGTTAGTGGTTAAGAACAATATAAAACAAAACGCCTCATCACAATTACAATGTTACGCAATAACTTTATCTTTCAAAGAACTGCTATGAGTATTTTATTAACTCTCTATATGACTGTAATATCTTTGATAAAACTGGTTGTATGTATGGAGGTCAAGTTTAAAAAGAAAACTACACAACTTTCCCGCATTAGCACATTAGCAACATAAGCCATAAGCAACGTTTTCAATAAAACCTCGTGGATGAGATAAAAAGACTGCTGTTTGTTATTACAGCATAAAAGGCATTTGCACTCTTAAGCTGTTTGCTTATTTTCTTAAAAAAGTCATATTATTCTCTGAACATTTGCTCAAGCTTTTCCGTGATTAGCAAAACAACTCAGGTATGAAAGTAAATACCCCTCGTTTTATAAAAGGTTTGGTTGTTTGGTGTCTGGCTCTTTCAGATAAAATGGTGATATAGATTGTTCTTGCGGTATGCTTTAAAAAATAAGGTTGAAATATTTAACTGAATAGGGGAAGACAAGTCAGTGAAATGATCTTGAACGGGAAGAGGAAAATATATAGAAAACATACCATAATGTAATTACTCGTTCCTGCATCCCTGGTTTGAAATGGTTTGAGTAAGAAGCTGTTTGTTTGGTTTTAAAACATGTGGGTAAGAAGAGAGCAAATAGCTAAGAGCAGGTTTGCAAGTTAATAAAGGGGCCACTAGAAGTGCTTTGATGATATATGAAAGAAATTATCCCAAATAAAACCAATTATGTCTAAATGAAATTATATACATTAGAATAGTTGGTTGCTAAAGTAAGTGACATATTCCATTTACCACCAATGATCTTTCTCACACCCTCTAACTTTGATCATGAACGAGTCCAGCTCCAGGTCCCCAGTCACCGCTGGGGGACTGGAAGCAGGGAGGCAGGATGGGCGAGATCATCTAAGTCCTCCTTCCTCCTCCTGAACCTTTCAAAAGCTCCCCATTCTTTCTGCAGGGTTGTCACCATGTCAGATGTCAGAGGTTAGTCAGAATTACAGCGCCGTGTAAAAACTCACTAAGAGTCACAGAAAATTGAAAAATGAGAATAACAAAACCCAAAAAACAGACGTAAACAAAAAACAATGCTGCAAAGAAGAAAGGCAGAATTCAATAAAAAAGAGCGCAGCAAAAACAAAATCTACTCCAAATACATGTTTAATGCTAACAAACACAATGCAAGCATTAAATATGTTGCACCACATAACAGAAGAGCTCCAGACCTCTAAGGGCAGACAGTTATCATCTCACATGTGACCAGACCCTCAGTAAAAGTCCTCTGAACCTTCCATAGACACTAAGTCATAGAAAGTTCTATGTTCTGGTCCCATATACTGTTAGTTGATGATTGTCCCCACAGCCTGACCAAACTCCTTCCGGGAGTCTTTGCCTTAGCAACCATCCCAGCCACAATGTCCTT